ATTTATATTATATATTGACATATATATAAAAGTATAATTATATTTTAATTTATAATTTTTTATTTTATTTATTATTTTAATAAATAATTTTAAATTCAATTAAATATTTTATAAATTTTAATTTAGTGCATGAATGACCATGAATTTAAAAATATTTTGAAATATATTTTAATAAAAATTATATTTTTATGAATAATTAAATTAAACGTATTTTTTGAAATCTTATAATGATAATTCTTTAATAATATTAAAGTGATATAATAAGAGAGTGATAATATAATACTTGAAATTATAAGGGATAAAAGTATAATTTATTTTATATTTTAACATATCCAGGGTGGATAGTGTAATACTTAGATCTCTTAGAAGAGGGGAATGTAATTTACATTAATGACGTTAAGTTAAATGAACTAAATTATATATTTTAATATAAAAGGAGAAGAAAGGGTAATGTAATTTTTCTAATATATGTATACACACACAATATATATATATAAATATAAAAGAGGAAAATTGTAACAATAACATGGGGAACTATACCAAAACACATGTAGGAATTAAAAAAAACAAAAAGAAGGTAAACCACATGATCACAAAAAAAATCTTCCAAATAAAAGAAGGCAGAACAATCCACCACTTATAAATAATCTTATGTTTTAAACTAAAATCAATTAATTTGTTTGCTCATTGATTTCCTTCCCTATAAATATGAGAATGAAAAAAATGCATTTGCGAACAAAGTAATAAACAATGTCGTCATCTATTATGGATGTCCCAAGAAACATTCTAGGTATTTCCAAAAGTGTCTAGAACAAATTTAGAATCACACTCTAACCAAAACTTGTACCACCTAACATCATGTGCATGTTCAATAGCACATAAGTTCAACATGCAAAATGATCATAATACTAATTTATGATACAAATTCATCCAAAAAAGAAACTCTACTCTAATCTCTTAAAAGGTCACCATAGACAACATGACTAGGGGAGCCTTGAGTACCACCACTTGAGTAAAATTAGTAAACATTTTTTTTAAATATTATTTACCAAAAATTAGATATTTAAATGACTATAAAATAAAAAATAATAATTTCCCTTTTAATAGATTTTTGGATCCTTGTTGTTTTGACTCTGTTTGAAAAATAAGAAATATAATAAGAATGAAGGGAAAAAAAATATAAAATGTTAAAAATCGGAGTTTAATAAAAACCAAATGAATAGAAAAAAAATAATTTCCCTTTTAATAGATTTTTGGTTTTGACTCTGTTTGGAAAATAAGAAATATAATAAGAATGAAGGGAAACAAGAAAAAAATATAAAATGTTAAAAATTGGGGTTGTTAAATAGAAATCAAATGAATAAAAAAGAAATTAAAAATATATGGAACCACGAAAAATTATCTCTATTTAAGAGAGGTGAAATAGGACTAAAGTGAAAACGGTGAGGTTGACGTGTTATAATTTTATTATCCAAAAAAATAGGGGATTAGAAGAGCAACATTTATATTGTGTTTGAGAGAGAAAAAAAAAATAACAGAGGAAGAGGAAGCAGAGAGACAAGAAATGAAAAAAAAAAAGAGAAGAAAAATATATCAAAATAATATAAAAGATAACTTTTTAAATTTATGTAATTTTAAGAAAAGAAAAAGAATATATATATATATATATATATATATATATATATATATATATACTATATATATATATATAATCGTTTGTGTTACATTATTTTTAAGATGAAGGAGGGGGAATTGTTTAAAAAAAAATCATTTTTTTTTATAGTGAGACTCATTAAATTTAAAAATTTTGTTGAATATCTCACATTTACAGGGACAATAATTTTTTTACTCATATTCTCCGTTCATCCCATTTCTGCACTATTTCATTCTCATTAAACGTAGTATTGAGAGATATATTAACAGTCTTTTTCCAATATTTTTTCTCTCTATTTCATCCTTATCATTATTAAGGAGTAAAAAAATACAATGCTCAAACAGATACATCCTAAGTTTTTAAGAAAAAGATCATTTAATTATTTCTATTTTATCTTTTATATTTTTTTCAACCAAACCATTTTTATTTTATTTTGATCAAACTAAACACTAATATTTTTATTTTATTTTCTCAAACTAAACCTTCTTATTTTTATTTTATTTTATCCGCTTTATTTCTCTTCTTTCTCTTATTTCTTCTACTAATTGCAGATGTGACGTGGCACTTGCTGTGTGTTCCGACGTACTTATGTGATTCGATTTTAATTTGTATGGCTCAATTTTACTCTCCTATTGCTGATGTAATCCCTTACATCATTTCAAAGCCATTAAATAATGATGGAGTCTTCTCGACACCGAAGCCTGCTTTTTTTTATCTTGTTTCTTCTGGATTATTCTCATGTGCAATATCTTTTCAAATTAATTTACGACAAATTTTATTCTTTTGTTGTACAAATTATTTTTGCACAAAAGAAATGAAAAATAAAAGTATGTGATACGATGATGAGCGTTCGAAAAAGATTAAAAGAATAATATCAAAAGAAGGGTTATAAAAAGATTTAGAATAAAATAAAATAATTGTTATTTTTTCCATGATTCTTTTTTCCACTTTCATTTACTCATTATAGACTTATGGTCAACAACGCGTGGATTGAATATTATATTCATCTTCCTAGTTCCCTATAAAGCCAGAATATATTAGAACTCCGAGACCAAAATAAATCATTGGAATTGATTGTTGCAAGTTCTTGGAACTGAGGTGCTGCAATGGCTTCAACTCAGGAAGAGGTGACGCTTTTAGGAGTTATTGTAAGCCCGTTTGTGTGTAGAGTTAAGATTGCTCTCAAGTTGAAGGGAGTTGAATACAAATACGTGGAAGAAGATTTGGGCAACAAGAGTGAGTTGCTCCTCAAATACAACCCAGTTCACAAGAAGGTTCCTGTGTTTGTTCACAATGGGAAGCCCATCGCAGAGTCTCTTGTGATTGTTGAATACATTGATGAGACATGGAACCAAAACCCCATCTTGCCTTCAGATCCTTACCAAAGAGCCTTGGCTCGTTTTTGGTCCAAATTCATAGATGACAAGGTAACCCATCTTTTCTTCTTTTCTTGCTTTGTGCTCCTTTATCACTTTTCATAACATCCAAATGTGAAATCTTTGAATAAGTTAGAGAACCATTAATTACTTTGAATAAATTTCATTAATTTCTCGAATCCACTTAGACTAAAATCATATTTATGATTGGTGAAGTTCGTTTAGGAACTATCTCAAATTATTATGATTTGTAATCTTTATGGTGTGATCTTATAAAGGATTTTTGGAGAATCTTTAATTTGGGGGAAGGGATTATGCGCTGTTTTGCTTCTATGTATAATTTAATTTGTTCTAGATCTTATGTCCACTTTTAAAATGGTCAAAACATAGTATACAGTAATTCTCATCTTATAAGAACAATCTTCATTTTAAAAATTGGTTGGTTTAATAAGATTAAATCATGTCTGAATTTATTTTGTATTAGGATATTATTGTTGGATATGGTAAGATTGATTATATGCTAACTAATTATTTTAGAAAATGATCACTAATAAGTAGTCTGATATATGAAATCAGGTTGTGGGTGCAGCATGGAAAGCTGTTTTCACGGTTGATGAGAAAGAGCGTGAGAAGAATAGTAAAGAATCATTTGAGGCACTGCAGTTTCTTGAGGATGAGATAAATGACAAAAAGTTCTTTGGAGGAGAGGAAATTGGGTTGGTAGATATTGCTGCTGTGTTCATTGCCTTTTGGATTCCTTTGATTCAAGAAATAGGGGGGTTGGAGTTGTTCACAAGTGACAAATTTCCCAAACTCTACAAATGGAGCCAAGAATTAGTGAACCATCCTGTTGTCAAAGAAAGTCTGCCCCCTAGAGACCTTGTTTCTGCCTTTTTCAAAGGACGCTATGAAAGCCTTTCTGCTTCAAAATAGATTCATGTATTGTGTGACTCAGAAAATTTCTAAGGAAAGTTGTGTTGTGTGGACTACTTGTTTGTCATTAACTAGTCAGGATTTGTTTCAAAAGGATGTTTGTAAGTTGTAATCTTGGATTTCTCCATGTCAAAGAAACCCAAGGTTGTTTCACACTTTGCTATTTCAATTAATAAATTATAAACTGTAGACCACCTTTTTATTCTTGAAAGCTCTTACTCTTGATTATTTAGAAACTTGAAGCAAACTGGTATTTTAAAATGATTGAAATTTCTGTCAGATTATGAATGAAATGCACGTCTAATATGGAAATTGCATTTGTAACTCTTGCCATGCATGGAATTAATAACTGGATGGCTTTAGGTCGAGATTTGCACAATGTCAGATTAGGAGAGCGGTTATATGTATCTTCTTTAGCGTGCACTAAACATGGTAAGGTTAATTGGCATCGCAAAGCCAGAGCCATGACTACGACCTCATGGTAAGATTAAGGACCATGGAACAACATAAGAGTTTTAATGTGGCAAAATGCATTATGTATTCGAAAATGTGTAGGATGTGTAACAGTGTATTAGTAGTGCCTTTTTCGTGGGGAAGTTCATGTTCTTGTTTGATCAATCCTTGATATAAACCATTATCGTTTACTTGTGGGGGATTTATTAAAGTCATATGCATAAAATGCTCATTGGATTTTAACTCTGTTGTCTCTTTTATATAATAAAAGAATTCCTTGACAGAATGATTGAAGCATATGAAACTCTTGATATCGATTATATTTATTTTTAGTGTAAATGAGTTTGGTAAGAAGTATTTCTAATCACATAAACTTGTCATTAAGTAAAACTCCTGAAGAATAGGAACACTACGATTCCATTTCCAACAATTTATCTAGGAACAAACTGGAATGAATTCAAACATGTACTAGAAAAATACTATAATCACGATCGACTTGGAAGCTTAAACATGAAACAATGTAAACAAGAAACAAATGGGATAATTGTATCTATTCTATGTAACGCAGTTGGTAGACTGGAATGAGACGTTCTAAACTAGAGCGGGTCGTTCTAAACTACTAAATAGGCTTGTAAATCCTAGTTGAGAACGGGCCGTTCCAAACATGGTTGTTGTGAGTTAAATTCAACTCCCAAACGACCGTTTTGCTTTAAGAAAGGGTCGTTCTAAACGTGCCAGAACGGGCCGTTCTGGTTTCAGAACGGGCCGTTCTGCATGTGAATTTTACACATGACGAAGGAGCCTAAAACGGGCCGTTCCGGATTCGAAATGGGTCGTTCTGGTCACTCCTGACCTTTATAAATAGGCGTTGAGGAGGGGGAGAAAAGGGAACTTAGAGAGAGGTTTTAGAGAGAAGGACTCTAGGCCAGGAAGCTTGCTTTTGGAAGATTGAGGTTCTCAGGTTGAGCTTCGGAAGGAAATTCCGCTTCTTCTTAGCTCTTGGCAATGCTGAGCCAATCTTCAGGTTAGGGAAACTTCATACATTATTTTCCTTGAAATGGTCGAGTTGTTGGGTGCGGATTGAGTAAAAAGTTGGGTTTTGTTGTTTGAAAGAAAAAGAGATGATTGATTTAAATTAGTAGTTGCATGTAGTTGTTCTTGTGTTTTAGAAGTTGTTTATAACGTGGTTAAGTTGCTAAGTTGCCTGATGAAGATGAGTTGAGTAGTTGTTGACTTACGTTGTTTATATGTTGTGTGTTGATAATATGCGATATGGTGTTAAAGTTGTTATATGTTGTGTATTTGGTAAAACTAAGTTATTTTTATGTTGTTTATTGTTGAATTATTAATAAGTTGAGATGTAAAAGTTAAAGTAGTTCATTGTTGTAAAGTTGATATTTTGTAAACTATAGTTGCTCTAGTTGTTTAATTAAGTAGTATAAAGATGCCTATTGTTGTAAAGTTGAATGTTGCCTTAAAGTTGTTATGATGTCTATTGTTCTAAAGTTGTTATGATGCCTATTGTTGTAAAGTTGTTATGATGCCTATAGTTGTAAAGTTGTTATGATGCCTATAGTTGTAAAGTTGTTACGATGCCTATTGTTGTAAAATTGTTATGATGCCTATAGTTGTAAAGTTGTAAAGTTGTCTATTGTCGTAAAGTTGTCTATTGTCGTAAAGTTGTAAAATTTCCTATTGTTGTAAAGTTGAAAAGTTGGGGACATATGGTGAAGATATATGTCCTATGTTGAGATACATAGTACTAATGTGATAAGTTAAAAGTTGTTTTAAAGTTGAATCCCTTAGTACTGTGTGGATGACATGGAAGTATTCGACTCATGTCATGGTTGAATGACCAAATTGAGTAAGGTATCTAGTTAGAGATATAGTCTTTGACTAGGTACTGGAGGGTGCCTGGTACTTGGAGGGAAGTGGGTGGACTAACCCCATATGTGGATTAGTTATGCAGACCAAGGCCCTGGTAGGTTCATACCCAAACCCTTCTGCCTTGACAGTAGTATTGAACCTCCGAGTCTAAATGGCACACCTGAGTAATCGCCTATTGTTGTCTATACCTAGTTCTCGTCGGAGTTCCTAACGGTGTCCTAGACTTGACCTGGTTGAGATAGGTCAAACATTGGGGTTTATGCCACCTAGACTGCTCAACCTCAATTGTTGGAGATCTCCTAGTTGTATATGCGTGACGATGCATTAATTGATGTTGAATGGGTTGTTCCATTCAAGTTGTATATAATTTTGTATGAATGAGTTGATAGTTGAGCTATTGTGATAAATATTATGTGATTGTGTTGTGATAAGTTGTTGATTATTAGGACTAGAGAAGTTTTCAAAGTTGTTCATCCCATTGTGCGGATTGAGATAGTTGTGGTGCTCTAAGAGCCCAATTTGTTTAAAAACCCTTCTTGGAAAGTTGTCCCTTGGAGTGGATGATTTGTTGTTCTTCTCTAGGACTTGGTTGGTCCCGTGTATGGGCAAGGTTGAGACACACGTATATGAAACCATGATATAGGGGCCAGGCCGAGCTATACCTATTACAAGTGGCCAAATTTGAGTAAAGTGCGATGTGTTGAAAGTGTTGTTGATGTTGTATATTTATTGTTGTAGGTGTTGTGTTGCTTTAATTTGCAAGTTGAAAATAGAATTCTATCACTGTTTATTATATGTTGATGCTATTTTTTTATGATTATTATTGTGAGCTTACCCTAGCATGTTTTTCCTTGTGGTTGGGACTGCGATGACCATACCTTAGTATGTGAGCAGATTAAGATTAGGTGCTTTGCTGGACTGGGTGAGCTTCTTTTTGGTTGGGACTCAGGAAAAGGGATGACGTTGTATTTAGTTGATTGGTAGCATTTGACTACCTAGTTGTTGTATAGGGAATTATTTCCTACTTTCAGTTATATATTTTATGGGACTTTCTAGTTGTGTATTCTCATTATATATATAATTGTTTAGTAGTGACATTATTTTATACTTGTATTTGGACGCTATAGATAATGTGAGACCTGACGAGTCGTTACAATCTACCTTATTGAATGAAATAGGATAAGACTACTGTTGTAGTCTTCATCTTCATCGGTGGTCTCAATTTCTTTCCAGACCAAATTTTCATTTTGCACGATCAAAACCAAAAGCTTATCTCTCATGTGAAACACAAAGTTGAAATATGCATGTCTCCACGACTTCTTCAACACCAAGCTGCCACAGACAAACCAGAAGCTCTTAATGTACCCGAAAACATTATTAGAAAGATCATTTGTGGAATGCACGGGCATTTCGTCCATGTATTCAATTAATTTTCCTTTCATAGTCAACTCTATATGCGTTATGTACGATATAGAGCAATAAGTTGATGACTCCGTTGAATTGATGAAGTAAGTTTGTGGTAATTTGAAACCATGGACACCACCCAAACATGATGGTATAGATCCTGATAGGTTTTTTCTGCTAGATCTAGTAAATGGAGAGAATAAAGACAACATAAATCTTCAGGAATGCCCCATGTTAGTGTATTACCTCTTAACAGTAACTCATCTAGTGAAGGAAGGTTTTTGGTGATTTCTTTTGGAATAGACCCAAAAAACCTGTTGTTTCCTAAAGAAAGAGTATGCATATAAGTACAACTTTGAAAGGTCGAAGACAAATCTGCTGAGAGATTATTATTGCTCAATTCAAGGATATGAAGAAAATGTAGAGAGCATATTGAAGTTGGAATTCCACCTGACAAACTGTTGTCGGATAGATCAATGACGCTTAATTCTTGCATACCCATCCAAAACATGGGCATAGTTCCTGTCAAATAATTGTTGGATAAATCAAGATATGACAACTTTTGATTCCTATTTATGGATAGTGGAATGATTCCATTCAGGTGGTTATTTGAGAGATCCAGGGACTTCAAATTTGATATTTCTCTACCAATATTGGTTGGCACTATTCCAGACAGTAAGTTGTTGCTTAAATCGAGACCTTCGATACCAGACCAAAGTAGGATTGAGCCCTTCAACTGATTGAAAGCAAGGTTAATACTAGGTGAATTTGGGAAGTTTAATATTTTGGGAAGGTAGCCATTTAGTTTGTTTTCATAAAGATTTAGCTCCCAAATTTGAGAGGACATGTAGTAAAACCAATGGGGTATCTCTAAAAAATTCTAACATTTTCTAGGTAAACACCTACACCGTCCAAGAGTGTCAGGTTTCTGAGCCAGCTAGGAAATGTAGGGCCAACTTGACAATCACGAATTTTCAAATCACTCAAATGCTTAAAAGGAGGAATCCATTCTTGCGTCACGTTAAAGGTAAATGAGTTTGGTTTGGATGATAAAGAGAAAATAGCTAGGTTTGTCAGATTTTGGAAATGAGTATTTGTCATTGTGCCTTCTCAGTTGTTATGGGATAGATTAAGATAACTCAATTGGATTAGTTGACCAATACTTTATGGAATTTCCCCATTTATCATGTTTCCTGGCAAGTTCAGACAACCTAGATTTGATAATTTTCTGTTGATACTAGGATAGGACCTAATAGTGAGAGTGAGTTGAATGATAGCTCAAGTTTGAACACGCTATTGAATTTTCCTACAAAATGAGACAATTTCCCAATTAGGTGACTTGAAAAGGATGACAAGGTATCCAATATTTGAGTTATATCACCAGTGAAATAATTATGAAATACATGTGTTGTTTTTTATGTGATTAATTGGATTTTGTTGAGAGGAGATAATTTTCATAAAAACACA